TATGAATTTGTACTTCTCCCTAGTATTGTGCCAACCAATCATCCAAATTAATGCCAAAAATCTCTTCGTAATTATGACTACTTTTATCTCCTTATGTAATTCCCCAATAATCAACATTTTAGGTCAATTAATAAAAATGATAAAATTTAGAACGTGCATCAATATTATATTTCAGTTAGTTTATGTAAGAAACGAGGGAAAAACAGAGTCACACGCACGTGAAGCGCATTATAATCAGTGAAAGTCTAAATAAAGCCCAAGTGAGGTTTGCATCTCAAAACCAACTAGTACAGAGCCTGTGCGATGCACATGGTGCACAATTTTAAGACCATATATCCAGCCTTATAATTATGTAAATGAATAAAAAAGATGTACGGGATATATATAGTACGTGACCTGTGCGAGACACGGGATATATTCATTTGAAGAGTATTATAATTTAATATGCAATATTCAATAAAAGTTGTACAATACACAGAAAAATTGTACAATAAAATAGTATTGAAAAAAGAAACAATCATATATTATTAAAGACCTCCTTGTACACAACATTATGAGTTTGAATATCGGGTAACTCCTCATTCTCACAAACTAATATCTTCAACCCCCTTTTATTAGTCACACGCGAAACAGCAACATATAATTGACCATGACTAAAGACAGACTTCTTTAGAAAAAGACCAACGTGGGATAAAGACTGTCCCTGACACGTCATACTAATATTTATTTGATTTTAGAATACATATTTATTCATTGATATAAGAAAAAATAAAAATTTTATTAATTATTGTTCACCATATAATACTCAATTATTATTTTATTATAAAATTTACAGTCATATAATGTAGTTATTATTATTTATAAAAGTTATAGAAGTAGTCTTCTTTATGTAATGAAATTCAAAATAAAATTTTGAGTATAAATATTTACAAAATACACACACATGTTTTTTAGAATTCAATTTTCTCATAATAATTCCTTTTTTTTAAAAAAAAAAAATATTTTAGCAATTGCCAAAAAATAAATCCCTTACATAATCAAGAGATTTTTTCTAATTTTCATCCTAAGGCTTTATAGTTTATTTAACATACTATGCAATAGAAAAATATTTTACAATAAGTTCATTGAAACATAACAAAAAAAAGCAAGGAAATAAATAGCTCGCTAAAGTTGCCGCTATTTGAGAAATAGTTTTTTTTGGCAGCGTGCCGCTATTTGTATTCATTTGCAATTTAGCCGCTAAATTCCGCAAAATCTCCGTTATAGCTCCGCTATAGATACAGTGCCATAAACGTTTTAGCCCGCTATTTAAAACCTTGAAAAAAAGTGATAAAAACACTATCATAGTTGACAATAATATACAAATAAATAACATGTCGAAATTTTAAAGTATAACTAATATAATTTTATTATCTAACCATCAATAAAATCATTTAATGATGTGATCATTATCTTTTAAATAATAAATAATATTAATTTTTTTAGAAAATATTAGTGTTATATAATTAAATAAAGGTAAAAAATATTACTCGACAAATATTAATTATAATGGATATCAGTAAAATCATTGCATAAATTATTTAAGGAAAAAATCTTTAAGATCATATTTGGATAGTAAATGTAAATA